ACAATAGGGATTAAGTGAATGACAGATCCACTAAAAATCAAAACGAAGCACCTTATTTTGAACTGGCAAAGAAAAATCAACATATGCTGTTCAATAAAAAGGAAAGAGACTAGAATACTACAGGTACATAGGGTGATCAAAACATACAGTGAGGGGATTTAGCTCAGTGGTGTCACACCTGCCTGGCAAGTGCAAAGTCCTGAGTTCGATTCCCAGTACCAAAAAAAAACATACACTGAATGTTAAATCTTTAAAAAGCCTTACTATATTGCCCAGACAAAATAAGTGTTCACAACAAGGGGGGAGTATTTTGAGAGAAACTAATAGTGACGTGTTTCTTTGCTGTAATAATTTTAATATTTAAACATATATCATATATTTTATCACCTCGATTTTTGATCAACTGTTTATGGTAATTTCTGTCAAATAAAAACACCACTGTGTGTCTTCATCCACCTTATTCATTGAATATGGCACTATGAGACTCCTGGCTCTTCCCCACAATCAAAATGACTGTGAAAGGGAAACATTTTGGATGAATTCAGGCCCTTGAAGCAGCAAAGACAGTGCAACTAAAGACACTCATGAAAAAGGATATAGTGAGCTATCACTTTAAAGGGATTTATACACACAGACATGTACATGTAATTTATAAATACATACCCCTATCCTTCCATTCAGAGAATACCAATGAAAACACACACTATCTAAAAATCATTTCTGAAAAGGCACTTCATCTTTCAAAGCCCAGGCCATATTCTTTTTTCTTTTCATTTATGAAAAAAATGAAACATTTCATAATGAAATAATGAAAGAACAACAATAGTTATTACACTGTGTATCACTGTCTTCAAAATACTTACTCAGTACAAGACATAAGCCAAAAAGATTCTTACAAAAGAGAAACAGAGACAAGGGAAAAAATGAGAACCAGGACCTGTCATGTAAAGGTACAGGATCCCAATGATGAATGCAACTGTACTGTGTACCTAAAATGCACCAATAAACTCAATAAAAAGAAAAAAAAAAGAGAGAGAAACAGAGAGCTACTAACACAAACTTGAGAACATGTCATTGTTTATCTTCAAGTACACTGATCGTTCAGTCAATAACAGATGAAGATGCCGCATTAGTCATGTTAAATACAATTTACATCTTTTGCTTATTCACCAAATGCACCTAGTATTTAATGAATGCACATAATCCACTGAGAGTCATTACCTAATGCACAGGCATCTTTATTGCCTTTTTGTTTTATCTGATAATCTAAAAACCATAAGGAGAAATATCCAGGAATAAAAGTTAAGAGGTCATTTGCTTCCAAGTTAATACTATTTTTTCTATTAGGGCAATCATCAGAGTTTACCTTTTCTAGTTTTTTAGTTTCTTAACCATACTTGGATTCCCACTTTAAAATACTTTCTCTTTACATCTTTTTATTTCCCTCGTGTTAATGGTACTTTCTCTCACTACATATCTAAGATAACAACTTTAAATAAGATTCTGAAGAATCACGTACAGACTTAGAGTGTAGGTACTTGTGCTGTAGGTACAAGAGGTACTCTGTATTTCTCTGGAGGCCAAGGGACTGCCTTCAGCAAAACTACTGACTTCAGTAGCAAAACATAGAGTAAGACTTCATGCCCCGGAGTGGGACAGAGAAGTAAACACAGGAGTTTGCGTTGTGACTCAGGGCTAGACTGGCAGATCCTAACAGCCTCCACCTTCAGGCGGGTACCAGGAAATGGAGCTTCTAGAACAGCCCCCACGGCAGGCAGGACAGGCAAGCCCAGTCTCTCAGCCTTCTCTTCCTGCCACAGTCCCCTGTGGCTGCCCATCATGGTCTCCGCCTTGAGTCCACTCCAGCAGTAGGCAGCACACAGCAGTGTGGGCCTGGGACCCACCCCGGTGCTGGGTTGGTCTTGGCAGGCTGTAGACTCAGGTGTGGCAGAAAGTTGCAGAACTGGTGGCCCAGGAAGGCTCACCCAATCTCTCCCACAAGTGCAAGCGTGTGGAGAGTCACTGCCTGCCCGGGGAGGGAAATGGAAAGAAAAGCAGGTCATGACCGTGGAACCTGCAGTTAGTCCTTCGTGGCACTTACTCACAGACAGCGGGAGAGAGAGCCAGGCGGCACAGCCCAGGGCCCGTCGCAGCCCGACCGTGGGTGAGGTGCAGAGAGCTAGGCCTGTGGGCACAGACGACCCTTCGGACATACTCCCCCACTTCATGTTGACCACACTAACTAGATTTGAAACAAAAACTGGGTTTGGGTCACCCTCTGGTGCTGAAACAGTAAGAAGGAAAAAATGACTATGAAAACAAAAAGAAATATTAGTGAAAGATCTTCAAGATGAAAGAGACAATAATGAATAAGAAGAAAAGTACAAGGTATAAAAGTCTGTAGTTATAGTACTTATGAAGATAAAATCAGAATGCTCTAATATTATAAACACAGCACATCAATCATTGGTATCTTTAGTATTAAGATAAAAAAAGTCAAAACAATAATAACGACATCAATAGGTTAAGGGATGCAAAATACATGAAGATGTAAAATGGAGTATAAAAATTTCAAAACTTGGGCCTGAACAGAATGCAAATGTAGAGTTTATTAAAACAGTTTGTCTTTCTTAGTTTCTCATCCTCATGATCATGATGGGTAGCTCTTGTTTCAAAACAGCTTGTTCTAATCAAAAGATGTTTTTGAAAGCTTTATGGTGGCCACAAGTCCATAATAAACAAACCAAAACTTTTAAGGAGTCAAAACACTCAAATTGCACCACAAAGGAAGACCACAGGAGAGAGAGAAGTACATACTGCAGGCACATATGGAAATACCACACCAGGCCCCATTAATATATACAATTAATACATGTTGATAAAAACTACTGTACATCTTGATAAGTACAGTTAATAACAACGTATTATATATTTGAAAACTGCTAAAAAGTAGATTTTAAATCTTTTCACCACAAAAATAAATATGTGAAGTAATAAAGATGTTAAATAGCTAGGGCCAGGGATTTAGCTCAGTGGTTCCACCACCTGCCTCACAAGCACAAGGTCCCAAGTTCAATCCCCAGTACCAAAAAATATAAAATAAAATTTAAAAAATAGCTTGATTTACCCATTCCACAATGTGTGTGTGTGTGTGTGTGTGTGTGTGTGTGTGAAAACATCATGTTGGACACTATAAATATAAAATTTAAATGTAAGTGAGAAGGAGAATAATAAAACTATAAATCAAGCTACAAAATGACTGATACAAAATAATCTTACCTATCAATAATTTCTTAAAAAGGAATTAAGTATTCCAACTAAAAGTCTATCTGAATGGATTTATAAAAAACAAGATCCAGCTTTATGTTGCTTACAAGAAACTCACTTTATATTATTTCTATTGTTTAGAAGTGACAGATAAACTTCTGTGTGAATAAGTACAAAGTCATGAACTTATAGAAACATAAATCAAAGCTGTACTTAGAGAATGATTATAAAACTTAAACAGAAATATTTTGAGTAACCAGAACAGCTTTTAGAAAAAACAAAGGTAAGGAGCCGGAGATTTAGCTCAGTGGTTCTGCCACCTGCTTTGTAAGCACAGGGTCCAGAGTTCGATACCCAATACCGAAAAATAAAAATAAAAAGTTAGAGTTCTAGTATCACTTGAAGACAGCGAAAGTCTACAGTAACCAAACAGTGTGTATCGAGTGAGTGATGACATAAAGGTGGATTGATGAAATAAAAGGACGGAGACTCTCTATATCGGACCCGCTCAAACACAGACCGCTCGCTTTGGACAACATGGCAAAGGGAGCACGGCAGAGAAAGGATCACATTTTCAAACAAACGAGATGGAACAATTAGATCATTCACATGCAAATTTTTAAAGGACGTCTGAAGCTTACCTTTTTTTACCATACAAAAGATGGATCACAGACCTAAGTGTAAAATCTAAAAGTATAAAACTTCTTGCAAGCAAATATAGGAGAATATGGTTTTGTCCTGGTTTAGGCTAAAGCTCTAAAACTGATAGGAAAAATGAGAGTACATCATCTTCTAGACACTGGGTGGGCAATCACTTCTTAGATAAGACACAGAAAGCCCTATTCATAATAACAAAGTAGACCTCAAAAGTTTTCGCTCATCAAAAAATACTGCTAAACTGTTTAAGCAAGTTCTATTTCAAGAAATTTTAAAGGAAGATATTTTCAGTGCATACAGCTTAATAAGGAATAGAAAGCACAACGAAAGTTCAGAGTGAGTGAAGGGAGGGCAGGGACAAGCAGAAAAAATAAGAACCAAGACCCGTCATGTAAAGGTACAAGATCCCAATGATGAATGCAACTGTACTGTATACCTAACATGTACCAATAAACTCAATGAGGAAAAAAAAAAAAAAACAAAGTTCAGAGTGCCCAAAATTAATATACAGTTCACAAAAGAAAGTATGTGAGAGCTGGGCGTGGTGGCGCACGCCTGTAATCCCCGCACTGGGGAGGCTGAGGCAGGAGGATCACTGTGAGTTCGATACCAGCCTGGGCTCCATAATGAGTTCCAGGTCAGTCTCAACTACATAGTGAGACCCTGCCTCAAAAAAACAAAAACAAACAAACAAACAAACAAAAAAGAAAGTATGTGAGAATGGCTAATAAACACAGGAAGAAATGCCCTGTGCCTTTACGTAGGAAATGCAATCAAGGCTGCTATGAGATACTTCCCCATCAGGCTTCAACTTAACACAATGAAGTGTTACCCTGCTTTATTTCACTTCTTTATCCTGGGAAATCTGTCTGATGACACTTCTGCATCAAACATAAAATAGTGTAAACTTATCAGAGCTAACATCTTCAACATCACATTAGCACTTACATAAAACAAAGAGGTCTACACTACATTTAGGTGATCTACTTTAACATACGCATCCCACATATTTCTATTTCCGTTTGGAATAAGCATTAAGAAAAATGTGTTTACCTCACGATGAAGCAAATATTTACCTGTCTGAAGAGGTGTCGCTGGCAGTCTGGTGCCTCACTCCTGCCCCGTCTTTAATAGACTCCTGTCTTGTGAGCCCACGGGAGCGACTCCTCTCCACTGCAGGGACGGATAAGTCTCCGGGGCGCCCCTGGAACTGGGCCTGCTCCTGGAGCTTTGCTTTCTTCTCCTGAGGCGCTTCCTCGTTTCGCACCCCTCTGGGAGCCCTCTGATCGGGCTGCTGCGGTATATGAGATCCACTATTATAGAACCACGCTCCGGATTTAGTGAGGATTTCTTGTTGTTTTCGGCACAGATTACAGACCCACATAACCTGCATGTGAAGACAGAGGGAAAAGAAATTGTGTCCCTGAAAGTTAAAAACAATCAAAAAAGACCATAATGCAAGCCAAAGAAAGATTATATGGTTGTCCTTCTGAAGTTAAAATGCAATCCAGACTGTTACTATAAATTAAGCGATTTCTCCTTTCTTTTGATTTTGTCAGAATAATTAGTAGAAATACCAAACTAGAGCACCAAATTACTAGTTGTTTATTTGTATTCTTTATTGCTTATGTAATTAGAAGTATGGTGTTGTATACAGAAAATGGATCTTGAAGCTAAATACTTGAGTCCAAGATTACAAATTTTTCACCTCATGCCAGGTACTAAATCCTATCTACGAAACTGCTTTCCTCACAACAAAAACAGAAGTGAGGAGCTAAAAAAGGCAACTTACTTTCTCATGCTGTTTTGAAGACTAAAAGTAATTATGTAACACATCTAGCAAAATACCTCTATTGTACAGGTTCCGACTGTGCTCCTCACAGTGGTTAGGGGAGTTCAGCCAGTCCACAGCAACACAGCGACCTCCTCAGTTTACCCAATGTGAATAGCATGTGCTCTTTTTTGTTTTGTTTCGTTTTTGTTTTTGTTTTTTTTGACAGGGTCTCACTATGTACTTGAGGCTGACTTGGAACTCACTGTTTAGCCCAGTCTGGTCTTGAACTCACAGCAATCCTCCTGCCTCAGCCTCCCGAGTGCTAGGAGGGCGCCATGACGCCCAGCTTAGTAAGTGCTTTTTGAGAGGACTTTAACTTCTTTTAAGTAGATCTCAATGGTTAAAATAAAGCTAAGAATATTGTTGGTTTCAATAAAAACCTGTTAACTGCTCATAATTTGTAGTAATACATGTGATTTTTAAAGTGCTAAGAAACAATTTAAAATTTACTATCTTAACTATTTTTAACTACACACTTCAGTAATGTTAAACATACTCATACTGCTTCAAAATAGATCTCCAGCACATCTCTTGCAAAACTGAAAGCTATGCTTCATTAAACAGCAATAGACCTCACGCCTGCTAGTCCTTTCCCCATACACTCAACCCCTGGCAATAACCATTCTATTCCTCACATAGTGTTCAACCTTATAATGAATATCTATGTAACTAGAAAACTTCATGCTCTGTAAAACCTTTTCAGTTAATCAGAAAAAATCAAACAGTACTAAGAAATAAAAGGCGAGTTCATGTATCAAGTGAGTGCTGTTTTATGTCAAATACTGGATCTTATCCAGCTCTTCATGTTACTACGCATTTTTTTCACCAATAAATTACAACAATAATGATAACCATAGTAAAAGTTTTCAACTGAAACGATTATTGTTATAAAATATCACTTACATGCTTGCTTGTTTCCATCATCTTAGTCCACATTGTTTGTATAGTTCATGTCATACACTGTACTTGATCTTTTTTATTTTTACTTTTGCTAAACTGTATATACATTTTTTTTCTCCAAGTAAATTTTAAGTTATAGGAGACAAGGGCTGTATCTTTTACTAGCGTTTTAAGGTCCTATAAGTTATAGAATACTAATAACTTTTTTATCAGTTCACACTTGTACTACATAACGACCACACTCCTTGTGGGGAGTTCATACATGTATGGCTCATCTTCATTCTACTGTTTCATCTCCTTTCCTCCCCTCCCTCCATCTCTTGGTCCACCCTTCCCATAGGCAAAAGATCCATCTCAGTATTTCCTGTTTTGCTCTTTATTTGTATTCTGAGTTTCGAGTATAAGTGAATTCATATGACACTTAGGTGTGTGAGGAACACCCACGTTCGAGTCTGAGAACCAGTGTTCTGCAGCAGAGAAGCTCAGCTCAATCTGCTGAATGGGACGCAACTGTGCTCCTCAGAGGTGAGGCCGAAGGACTGGATGAGAAACCCCTCGGTTTACATAGGGTAAAGCACTGATTATACAAATAGCATCATTTCTGGGTGACCAAAAGGAGAAAAGTCTTGGAAGAGGATGAGCTACACTTTCCTCATCTAGGAACATCCCGTGGATGTCATATCCACTTATATCCAGTTATATGAGAAAACAAGCATCAGGTATGACAGATGACGTTTGACTCTGTGTGTTAATATGCTTCACAACCCCTCTGGACTATTTATATTGAGCACCGTCTTTCTGACTGAATCATCCTAAGCTGCTCGCCCCTAGTGCTTTCATGTTCTAACATGCAAGGTACCTTTCTTTGTGCAAGTGGTACAGCACCATTAAGAGACAGGATCCCCAATGGTCCAATGTGTCACCATATAGTGCCATTCCACAAACATCCTTGGTGGGGTTGAAAGTGAAAAAAAAACTTGAGTACCTTTTTAAAAATACAAAAATAATAAGCATTAATGTAGGCAGGTATGGTGGTACATATGTATAACCCCAGCACTCAGAAGACTAAGGCAAGAGAATCACCAGGAGTTCGAGGCCAGACTGGGCTACATAGCAAGACGCTGTCTCAAAAACACCAAAAAAAAGTTATAATAAATAGTCAAAAAGCAAAACCAAAAATTATATTAGGTGCCACCAATAATTTAAACGAATCTAGAAATCTGTAAAATCTACGATTTTTGCAATAAAAATAATAAAATAATTCAAAGAAGGGAAGGATTATGGGTGAAAGACTGGTGCTAATGAGACCACATCCCAAGCTCATGCAACCTAGTTAACTTTGCACAGAAAAAGAATTTACCAGACTCCACGCCTATTACCAGCTTGTTTATAAATGTATTTGTCAGAGCATAAGGTGGAAGAGTGTAAATTCATCAGCGTCACACTATCACAACAAAGTGTGGAAGATTCTGGCTAGGTATTTAATAAGCTCAGATTGTCTTCCTGTTAGAAACTACATTTCCCAGCTTCCATGCAGTGAGCATGGCCAGGGCTACAGGAGTCCATCCAGCTGATGGGTCACAAGTGCAACACTGAGTGCCATTTCTATGGCCTATAAAACCCTCATGCATCAGCATGCTCAGGACCTTAGAGAACCAGGGGCCACAGAGAGAAGGGGCCTGGCAGCCTGCACAGGGACTTGGCAGAGAGCCCTCTGCTCATCAGCCACACCAGCATGGATGCCACAGGGGTGAGAAATAAACTATATGAGCTACAGAGATCTGACTTCATCTTTTACAGCTGATAGCATAAGCTTAACTAATGGATCTTTTAAAGTATATGTTCTGTGAATGTGTTTCACTAGCACAATGCTTGTGTTTGCAGAAGTATGAATTCCTGGAACAGGGACATAAAAGACCTTCAGGGACATTCAGCAACTCACGAAACTCTCTAGTGCACACTTCCTCCCAACTCCGCTTTCCACAGTGTAATGCGGGTACCTTGAAATCAGCCATGATGAGGATATTTAGACTACAGAGACGAGAAAATACTACAAATCAGAACTTTTCTAACAGAGAGCTGGCTGTTAGCATGTACACGCACATCAGTGAGGATTATCTATTATATTCTACTGAAAGCATAATACCACAGTCATACATGGACCTGAGTGACTCTGTAATTCACCATAAAAGCTAATTCAGACAATGAAATTCTAATTCATTCACAGACAGGCAAATAATTATTAACACCAATCATGAATTATTTAAGGATTTGAACAATATTTACTAAATGCCTACTATCTGCCAAACACCACGCTAAAAACTGGTGGACACAGCTCCACAGACATCAATTTTCTTGTGTTGTTCCAAGTGTAGTAGAGAAGACAATAAGCAGGTAATTACAGAAAAACTGTTCATATTATAGTCAAAGATGCTGTGAACGCAATGGATTCACACCAAGATCCCTGATGCCTTCTGCTCTGGCTGTGTTTGGAGAACAAGGATGCAGAGGAAACCCACAGGAGTCTGGGAGTCCAGAGGGGTCCGGCCATGGCATCCCCCGTGTGTCCAGCCGTCCTTCTGGGTGTCTGTCTCTCGGACAGCACTGTCCAAGGGCGTTTAGGCTCCCAGCCTTGATGTCCCTTCCCTAGCACACCATGGTGGAATCTGAATGCCAACACACTGGCCCATATGCTAGAGAGGACTAAGGTTTTCTAATGGCTACAGCATTAAGAGAAAAAAATGCTTAAGACAAGCAGCAAGACTTTTCCAGGTTCCCCATGAACCTGAAGTACCACATCTCTAACTACAGCCACATTCGTAGGCTGAATCAGGAAAGTCTGGACGCAGCAACAGTAGAGAAGAAGCTTTAACCTTTGGCATCTCCAAATTGCGGGCATTACAGACTCTTCTCTGTTGGCTACTATCGTGGCTTTAAAAATGACTCACAAAGAAAGGCTGCTTACTTCTTTAAAGCCATCCAATTAAAAGTCACTCTGGTCAGTAGCTCCTGTGGATAAATTCCCATTTCAGACATTTTACCTCTTCCTCTGCTACTCCCCATGGAAGCATCCAGACACTCTGAGGGGTTCCGGGGCTGCTCTGCAGGTCGTCTCACTCCTACCCAGGTTCCCAGCCTGGACAGCACAGCGCTCCTCCACTGGCCCGGCCTCGGCCCAGGCCCCACAGGCTCTGCTGACTCCTCTTCATCTCTGGACAAGCCCCTCTGTGCAGCCTCTTCTGCAGAGTGACCTCGTCCCTCCCCGCGCTGGGGTGTCCAAGACATACGGCTCTGTCCATGTCCTTCGCAACGTAGCGGAACTAAGGACAGCTCCGGAGAAGGAATTCTGCAGTTCTTGGTCTTCCTTAACCATGATGCACTGCTGGGTTCACTCTGAAACACCTACGCTCAGATGAGGGTGAGGGCAGCCCGAAGGGTGATTCTCTCCCAAGCACCCCAAATTGCAAGAACGCTTCTGCCTGGCCATTTTATCCATTTCCCAACCTCCCGTGGGCCTTAACCGTGAAAGGGAGAAAAACAAGAATCCAGCTTGCAGATAAGCGCCTCTAACAGACACTTCAAATACGAGGGCTGATCACTATGTTTAAATTATGCAAAGTTTAAATCTAAGAATTTATACAGTAGGATGATTT